ATGGAGCTATTTTAAGTAATTCTGTGTTGTGTATCATTGCTTTCTTGGCTGTTTTCAACATCAGCACGTAGCCAGGGATCCAGGACTTTATGTGTTTGTTTGTTTCTATTGATCTATACAATGCAATGTGTAGAGTAAGTAATACCCAGATAGGGTAAGTAACTAGTAATAATAAATACCTTAAGAATAAATGAAGAAATAAGAATGCTATCCATACACTCTTTGAGGTAATGTATCATCTTCTGGTAACCCCTTTCCTTTTATTATATAAAACAAGAACAGTTTAAGTATGTGATACTTCCAGTGGGAAGGAGATACTCATAGTGAAGAGCTCCTTATTGTGAGAACTGTGTTCATCAGCCAGACTTTTGGAAATAATGAAAATGTGTTTGGAATTCCATTAGACAAAGATGTCCCTTAGTGATTTATTTACTGTGTCCTCAGCTTGCCAAGCAAAAGATTTTGGCAAGTGGTATTACCCTCTTGACCTTCTGAATCATCAGTCTTTCAAAGCTTCTCTTATACCATAGATTTCTATTTATTTTTTATTCATTTGATTTCAGCAAAGTACTGTGACCTACTATATCCTAGCTATTGCCCTCTGACTTTTTCACTTCAGTGTGTGTGTGTGTGTGTGTGTGTGTGTGTGTGTGTGTGTGTGTGTGTGTGTGTGTGTGTTCCTCTTCTTTTCTTCATAGGGCCGTGTTCCTCCCACCCCCCTTTTTGGGTGAACTAGTTCTGAAATTATTGATATGAAAACCCTACTCTGTACCCAGGACTAGTTGTCTCTGAGTGCTATTTATACCAGGTACGTGGTGCTTTCCTGCCTGTGGTTGATCTGCTTTTCAGTAATTCTATGGTACCCTGTAGGGGATACTGAGAACCTATGATGTTCTAAATTTCATCTTCTCTAAACCCAAAGAGCAATGTTATGGGCATATGTTTAAACAGGTTACAGAGGGAAGGTGAGTAGAGTGTGTACTCTGGGCAAATGGGTATAAAGGAAAACAACTCAAAAAGGGAAAACATACAGACCAGAGCCCCAGAAGGTGTGTGGTGCTCTTGATAGCCTAATGCCCTTTAAGATCTTTGTGCAGAGATTGGCACAGACACTTTCAGGTGTTTATCTGCATTATTTGAGTATTTGGACATTATTTGCCAAGTCTATGATAAAACAAAACACATCAGCTGGGTCCTGAAGCAAAAGACACTGCTTAAAAATATAGAGTTCTGGGAGACACCTTGAACTATATTATAGAGGGCATAAGATTTAGCACACACATGGGATCTTGACCGTAATAAGCAAAGACTCTGTTTCTTCAGAATTATTTAAAATGTTTTACATGTTTTAAATACTGAATAGGAAAGTCTTTCATGTGCTTTTGAGTAGTTAAATTAAACCTTTTCCAATTCAGAGTGTTTTAACCTCACACAGACAATGTGACATCCAGCCTCTCTTGGAAACATGAGGGCTTTTATTTCATTGTGTTTGAGTTTTGTTCTGTTTTGTGAGACCAAGTTGAAGATCACGTGCCATGAATTTTTTGTTTTAGAAAAATGGATAGTGGTAAATGAGGGTAGATTGAAAGGCCAAGAACTGAGAAAAAGTTTGTATTAAGTATATCAGAGGACATTCTACAGTTACACCTATTTGATTAAAAGCTTAAGAGAAGTATCAAGTATTTACCAAAGGAAATTTTATCAGTATATTTGACTCATAGGCACAAATTTATTTAAATTTGTTTAATTAAAATTTATTTCAATTATGTCCAGATAAAATGTATAATAAGAACTAAAGGTAAGACTTTTAAGGAATGCTTAAAAAAATGAGAAAACAGAAAATATTATTTTATGATAAAATATTGAGGAGAAACTGATCCAATCAAGTAGAATATGCTGTAAGACGGTAAGTAAATTCATGAACTATTTATATGAGAGTATTTTTTCATTTTAAAAATTATGGGTTCAAATTCATATGAAAATTAATATATGATAAAACATATTTTATAAGTCAGTAGAAAGAGGACATTTTTATGTCAGACAAGGAATGAATGTTTCACCAAAGTTTTATTATGCAATTGATTGACTATTTAGGGGGAGTAAGCCCACCACAAGTTCTCCACAGCAATCTTTATCCCCAAATTAATTCCAGAAGTTTGACGTCTTAAAATTAAAGACTGTAATTGTAAAAGTACTAGTAGAAAACATGGGCATGGGAAAAATATTTTCATAATTTCCCACTAGCAAAGGCTTCCCTGTAAAACTTACAACACAGAAGCCTTAAACAAAAAGATTGACAGATCAGCTACATAAACATCAAAATATGTAATCCAGAAATGAAGAATCATAAGTAAAATAAAAGTAATTGTTAAATTGGGGAAGACACTTGCATCACACAGCTTGCTATAGAATGTAGCAAATTAGGAAATTAAAAAAAAAATTAGTCTGGTATTTTTTTTTACACTTGTGCATACCAGCATTTTTGTTTTGTTTCTTTATTAATTTATCTTTCCAAGTAAAAGTACATTTTAAGCTGAGATTGTTTTATTTTCCTGATAGAAATGTGGCACGAAGGTTTGAACTTTCAGCCAAAGCAAGCCCTCCTTCCTTAAACAACTTTGGCCAGATGTTCTGTCACCACTAGAAGACAAGTAGTTAATACAGAGATGGAGGGCAGAGGGTCATTTCCCCTATCTCCCTCTTCATAGGTTCCCTAACCCTCTTTGCCTTCTCCCTTGCCATAAAGCAAGGATAAGTTATTTTTTAGTGCCTCTCAAATAGGTTTCTCCTCTTATGTCTGTTGGTTTGCAGAAAGGGATTATCCAGTCTCTGCAGGCTTAGGGGTCCATCTCTTCTCTAGTATGAATCATGGATCATACATCAGGGATTGAAAAGTGTGCTAGCTAGTTTTATGTCAGCTTGATACAGCTAGAGTCATCTGAGAGAAGGGAATGTCAATTACGAAAATACCTCCAGAAGTTCAGGCTGTCAGCAGACTACCCTGGAGTACATTTTATTAATTAATGATCCTTGGGGGAAGGCCCAGTCAGGGCTGATGTTCCTGGGTTCTGTAAGAAAGCAGGCTGAGCAAACCCTGGGTAACAATCCGCTAAGCAGCACCCCTCCATGGCCTCTGTATCCGCTCCTGCCTCCACGTTCCTGCCCTGTTTGAGTTCCTGTCCTAACTTCTGTTGATGATGAACAGTAATGTAGAAGCATAAACCAAATAAACAGTTTCCTCCTCAGGTAGGATTGGTCATGTATTTCATCACAGCAAGCTTTCTGTAAAAGGCAGAGATTGAAGATCAGTGGCTTCACAAACTTCCTCGTGGCCCCTGCCACATATTTGCTCCTGCCTTGTTTTTTTCCTCTCCTATTTTTTTTTTTTTTTTTTTTTTACTTTTTACATGTAAACCATTAAAATTTTTTGTTTGTTTGTTTTAATCCTTAGCCAGTCATAGTTTGCTGACCACTTTTCTGGGGGATTTTTTCAGACATTGAACCAGTTACCTTTGTTTCATCTCTGGTTTGTACATTTGCCTTCAGAGAGTTAAGCCTCTGAGTTCTGATCCTTTCCATTTTTCTAGCTAAACTAGATGGCTTTTTGAAGGTTCCTTCTGCTACAATGTTCTCTACTTCCTGGAAATTTGAGATTTAGCTTTCATGGGTGTCTTAGTTAGTCTTTCTATTGCTGTGATAAAACACCATGAGCAAAAGCTACTTGGGGAGTAAAGGTCTTTCATCAACTATAGTTCTGCATCACAGCCCCTCATTGAAGGAATCTGGAGGCAGGAGCTGATGCAGAGGTCATGGAGGAGTGCTGCTTACTGGCTTGCCCCTCATGGCTTGCTCAGCCTGCTTTTTTATAGTATCCAGGACCACCACCCACAGTGATCTGGACCCTCCCACATCACTCACCAATCAAGAAAATGCCCTACAGACCTCCCTACAAGCTAATCCCATGAATGCATTTTTTAAACTTAAGATTACTTCTTCATAGCTTGTGTTAACTTGACATAAGAACTAGCTTGCACACCAGGTCTGCGAGGGAAATAACTGCTTCTCTCTCCATTTCTTCTTTACCAAATATCTCACCCCCCACCTCTTTTATTTAACTTTTTGAGTCATTTTTATCCCTGAGTTCTTTTCCACCCAACATTCCCTGGGATTTGAGGAGGGCGTGGAGATAAATGCATGTATTTAATCTACTAAATTTAACCAGAAGTTTCCCCCAAATCCAATTTGGTTGGTTTTATTTTTACTACTTTCTTTGATAGTTGTTGGGTTAATTTTACATTTGTTCTCCACGTGCCCACTTGTTATGCCAGATGTTTAAGAAGATGTCCTTGGGGAAGAAAAATGAGGGGATTTAAAACGTAATGTTCTTGAAATGTTCACAATGGTTAAGTGTGTGAGATCTCAAGGAGGCTGGGCTGTTTCTGACCACCAGATTCACATAATAGAAATTCAGCTTCACCCTTATTTGTGTAAACCATCAGGACCATTTTTAAATGTTTGTAATAAACTTTGTGGCTTATTGTTTAAAATTGAATTTAAGGTAGTAAATCAAAGTGCTTGGTGGTATGCCTCTGGCAGCAGGGAGAGTCTTGTGCAGGATCTCTGAGAGCTGATCAAAGGCTGATGCTGAAGTGTGTGTGTGTGTGTGTGTGTGTGTGTGTGTGTGTGTGTGTGTGTGTGTGTGGTTGTTTGGTCCTTTAATCTGGTGGTGTTTCCAGTTCTATTCCAAATACAGTACTGCACATGCTCTCCCTCACTCTTGTCATCTTGGCAATATTCGGCACTGCCTTTGCCAAATGGCTCCCGTTCAGGCATAAGACTGCCTTTGCCATGAAGTGTATATAAGGTATGAACATTGCTTGTCAGAAACTGGGCATCTTCCAAGTTCTCATTCATGCCACATTTGTTCTAGTAATCAAATGGAAATTGAAAATGAAAAAACAAAAGTGACAGAAAGGTGACTGCCAGTCTTCTCTGCCCAGGTTCACCTTTCCTTGCCAGTGAAGATGGTGTGCTTGGTGGTGTGATTGTTCTCCGGTCATGCAGATGTTCTTCAGAGTCAGACTCCTCCCCAAATAAGCAGACACTTCTGGGTAAGTGGAGTATTCATCTATTATAAAGTTCCTTCCTTCCTTCCTTCCTTCCTTCCTTCCTTCCTTCCTTCCTTCCTTCCTTCCTTTTTTTTAAGACATGAAAGACTGATGTCGTTAAGTCAGCAATTGTCCTTGTGATATCTGTCACATCCCACTGCTTGCACTCTTGCCTCTCTGTAGATAAATTTACAAAACATCACAGTTTATTTTTAAGACTGTGCTTAAAGAGTATTTTAAAATGAGCTTCAGTAAAGTCTTATAGCATGTCTCACTCTCCTGTCTTATTCCATGAAACATTAGAGGTGACAGTTCATATAATAACATGGGAACAGGATTCTTTCTGTTCCCCTTCCTCTAAAGGAAGAAGACTGTATGAGGAGCTACTGGTGTAGACCTTAGTCCTGATTCCCTGGCCAATTAGCTTTGCTACTGTCATGTATCACTTTACTGTCCTCTGGCACATCTTCATCTGTAAAATGACATGCTTGCCAACTTTCCTCTTAAAACAGTTTTCAGGAAGGGATGGTCAGTGAGTGATTTTGCAGATTGCAGCTGTGCATCCAGATGTGTAGCCTTGGGTCTAGCCAAGAAGGTCTAGCTTCATACCTGTAGGATGAAGCCACCTCCCTTCCATCTATCAAGACTGGTAGGGTTGCCATGGCCCACTGTCTGCTTTTTACTCATCTATTTATCTAGATAGAAACTTCTTTAAAAAGTCTGTGTAGCGGGACTCTAGATGTGTCATTTAAATAAATTTGTAAAGTGTACATATATCCAGAAAACACAAATCATAGCTGCTTTCTTGATAAATTATTCCCGAGTGAGCCTACCTTATGTAATCTGTACTCAGATTTAAAAGATTGAACTTTATAGCCTCATGGTCTCTGTCTTCGTCTGAGTTATCCACTACCCTACTAACACAAGAGTTTTATACAAATGGAATTTATAGATTATATACTGTTATATGTGGCTTTCAGTGAACTCTGGCCATAGTTTGTCTTAAGAACTTCAGTGGTGACAATGAAGGTGCATTTGTGTCTTTGGGTAGCTCTGCTAGTCTTTAGTTCTCATTTGGGCATCTTGGTTCTCATCTTTGGGAGACCTGGGACAATTGTCCCAGGTACCCCCCTCCCCTCACTCTACCTTGGATTTTTGTCTGTTTATTTATCTTGGTTTTTTTTTTTTTTTTTTTCAAGACAGGGTTTTTATATGTAGCTCAGGTTGTCTTGGAACTTCCTCTGTAGACTAGGCTGGCCACGAACTCAGAGATCTACTTACTTCTGCCTCCTGAGTGCTGGGTTTAAAAGCATGTGCCTTGTGAACTGTGGTCTTTCCCCCTTCACATTCCCATCCCCTGCCCCAGTCTTCCCCAGTTTAGGCTTCCCTTTTCTATTAGCTCATAGACAGTTCACACTTGTTTATTATCAGTTTCTCTGTAACATACCTGCAGCTGGGTTGATAGCCTAACCAAGGGCAATTAGAAAAGAAGACAATGGCCTGTAAAAAAGGGCAAAGATGAAAATGTGACCAAAAGAACTAGATCAACCCCAGTGTCAGAGTAGCCTAAATAAGAGTGATAGATGTTTTTGTGACTAATTTATTGTATGTTTAAGCTGAAGGTTGACTATCTTTCTAAAATATGCTGAAATAAAACCAGGATATGTATCTCTTAACATTATTTCCATGTTCTCTATTATTATTTCATTACTTTCTTGTTGTCTAGGCTAGCTTCAAATCTCTATCCTTGTATCTAGCCTCTCCAATGCTGGAATTACAGGTGTATTCCACCATGTCTGGCTTTACTTTTGATTGACATGTAATTATACACACGGATAGTATGCAATGTGATGATTCATTTTATCTGTGAATTGTATATTGATCAAATCTGGCCAGTTAGCATATCTGTCACTTAAGCTTAGTATTTCTTTATTCATAGCACATCTAAAATACTCTCTTGCAGCTACTTTGAAATATGTAGTATATTATGGGTAGCTACATTCACTCTGGTGGCCAACAGAACTTATTCCTGCTATCTGCCTGCAGTATGTGTCCCTAAGTGACAATTACACTCCTCTCCCCAGACTTAGGAAGCTTTTCAGATTTTGTATATGTTATGGTCATTTTTACCCTTTTATTGAGGAGGCACGTGCGCGCACACACACACACACACACACACACACACCACCACCACCACCACCACCACCACCACCACCACCACCACACCACACCACTACCTCTGGGTTACTTTTGGGTTTCAGGATGGATACCAGTTACCTAACCTAGTGGGAAGAGTTCTCACTCGCTTTCTAACAGTTTAGAGAGCATGCTCTCAAGTATTATTTTCAACTTATTCTTTATTACATATACTCGTTGCCAATGTCCCAAGTCCTTGTCTTTCAAATAGCATTTTCAAGGGAACATCCTCTCCCCACCCCCACTTGACCTCACTGTTGCATTTTTCTTGGAAATTCACTGTCCTGGTAACCAATTTTTAATGCCTTGCTCAAATGTGAATTCTCTGGAAGAGTTTCCAACATATTTCCTCCTTCCTTGTGCTCTGCTAGTACCATGCAGTTTACATATTTCTGACACTTAACAGGAAACTCCCTATCAGATACTAAAGTGCTTTCCTGCTTTTCTAGCATGGGTATTTTTTCCCCCTCCAGTTATCTGATAAACAACTGGATAAATCACAGGTCATTGAGAACCAGAGAGAGGATTAGGTATTTGATAACACTTTTTTATGGATTAGAGCATTCTTCTTTCTGAGAGACATCCTGCACATTGTAAGCAATGTGGGCAGCTACTGTGTCACTGAAATTTGTGGCCATGTTCATAATAGGTTTTCAGGAATTCTTAGATACACGAATTTAAGTGCCAAATGCAGTTTTTGTATTATCTTATCAGGGCTCTCTCTTTCTCCACCCCTCCCCCAACATGAACATGGATGTGATTGCAGGTGCATATGTGTGAAGATTAGAAAACAGCGTCAGGTGTCCTCTTCCTCCTCCTCACTTGACAGGGCTTGTCTAGTTCTTCATACTGCTTCATACTCAAGGCTAGCTATCTTCTGAGCATCTCCTGAGTTCTTCTGTGTCTTCTTATCACTGAATCTAGCTTTTATGTAGATTCTGGGAATTGAAACTCAATAGCAAGTGCTTTACGCACTGAGCCATTTCTCTAACCCAGAACTAATCTTTTTGAGATGACTACTCTCCAGCGAAATGAAATATCACATAAAATATCCTTATATGTTCTAAAAAGAAGACACCATAGGTTGGAAATTTGTCTAATGAATGTCCACGAACAAGATTTAGAGATAGTTTAAATGGCTCCCAGAAAACAGCTTCTGTACCTAGTCATGTATAGGGATAGTGTGGCCACAAACATGTTTGCAACACTTGTCTGCCATGTCCTACTCTCCAGATCAAGAGATGCTGTCAAATCCCAGCCTACAGACTGCACATTTAGCACAAAGCAAATTTTTGTCTCTGGATGAGACAGCTGAAAAGAATTAATTTTCTATATGCTTTTAGAGGGAGGGAAAAGGCCAGTATATTTTTACCTGCTAAAGTATAATCGCATGTTTTGCAGGCCTTGTAGGAGTGCTTTCTTGAGGCTGATGGACATAGTATGGTTAGGAAATGTGCAAACAGGCTGGCAAGATGGCTCAGCAGTTAAAAGCACTGGCTGCTTTTCCAGATCTCTTAAGTTTGATAGCTAGCACTCACATGGTGGCTCAGTACCCTTCTGGCCTTGCTGGGCATCAGACATGCACATGGTAAACATACATACTTGTAGGCAAAATATTCGTACATGTTAAAATAAAAGGTTTTAAATTGTGCAGACAAAGGCACATCAATCAGGCTCTCCAATGGGGACAGTGAGTATGTTGCTTTTTAAAACTTGTGATTGAAAGGCAATTAGCATACATGCAAACATTTCCATAAACAACCAATCCTGCTATGTGGAACATTTTGTCCTTTGTATTCTATATCCCATCTCTTGATTGGAGCCTATGAAGTTAAAGATTTTCTCTCTTAAGTGCCACAGGCCAGTGTGCAATAGGCACCATATAGTTCAGGAAAATCTTTTTTTTTTTTTTTAAGTTTTATTTTATATTTTTTCTTATTTTTACATATCAATCCCAGTTCCCTTTCCCTCCTATCCTCCCATGTCTCTCCCCACCCCAAGGAAGGTGAGGCCTTCCAGGAGGGATCATCAAAATCTGTCAAGCCATTTGGGATAGGGCCTGGTCCCTCCCCATGTCTCTAGGCTAAGGGAGTATCCCTTCTTGGGGAATGGGTTCCCTAGGTCCTTTCATGCACCAGGTATACATCCTGTTTCCACTGTAAGAGGTCCCATAGACTGTCCAGGCCTTCTAACAGAGTTCAGGAGGTCTGGAAAGCAATCCAGAGTAGATGTGTATATTTGGCAGTTACCTTTGGTTCAAGGCTCTTTTGTAGTTCTTCATATTAGATTGGATTTCAGACTCACATTCACTGAGAGTCTGATCATCTCTTGAGTACACATGGTGATTGTTACTTTACTGTTAGGTTAATCCCACTTTACTTAGGGAATAAGTTCTTTCTATCTGGAAATGTGTTTATGTTGCTGATAATTAAATTTTGAGTATGATACGCTTCCATTTCACTAGCTACCCCTTGTGGTTTTCATCTTTTACTGTGCAATGTTTCATATATGTTTTAAAGAAGGACATAATAAATTTGTGAGTTATAAAGGGTAATAATAAAATGAACACCTGTGGGCCTGACGCCCAGCCCAAGAAATTGCCCATTACCCATATCTTTGAAAGCCCCATGTGGGCCTCTCTGATCTTACAGCCTTCTTTTCCTGAGCTTTTATTTCACGGTTCCCTTTGAGTTTTCCTTAAACCCTTTTCATATTTCTATGTTTCCGAAAGGTATGTTGTGTGCTAGTGCTTGATCTTGAACTTTTATGAGAATTTCTTTGGTCTCTTTCCTACCTGAAAGGAAAAT